CTCCACGCAAATAGTTTTTTTGTCGTCTTCTTCGCCTTACATTATTTTCTCTTTCTTCTTCTCCTTTCACTGCTTTCTCTTTCTTTTTTCAGTTTTTCTTCACATTTTCGTCTTCTTCTCTTCCTCTCCTTCAACAATTTCTCTTTCTTTTTCATCTTCTTCTCTTTGTCTCCTTCTCCACTTTTCCTTTCTTTTTCGTCTTCTTCTCCTTTCACTTTTCTGTTTTCTTTTTCTTTTTCGTCTTCTCCATTTCTTCTCTTTCACTGGCAAATCCAGTAATAAATATACTCAGTTCATACCAGATACTATAAATGTAAGGGAAGAGAAGGGAGAAAAGTTTAATCCCAAAGTTACAATAAAATTTAATTTTCACAATACAAGTTATCGAGATGCTTACATCTTTGCAAGGAGAGGCAATAGTCGCCATTGATGACTTGGATAATTGAGCAACAGGATTTCAACACTAAAGATCTCTCCACTCTCCACGCCATCAAGAATCATCGTGTTATCATGATGCTTAGTTTAGCAAATCCACCATGAAAATAATTCTGAGACGAAATGATCCCATGCTCAAAAATTTATTAATAAAACCGATTCGCAAACCGGTTAACCGGATTGCAAACTAAAAATCCGGATCGGTTTGCAAACCGGTTTATGCCAAAATTCGGATCGGTTTCAGTTTGCAATATGGTTTGAACCGACAAACTGGTTCGGTTACAAAAAGCATGTATTCGATTCGGTTAACCGGTTTTTTGCTGCCCTACTTATTGGGCAATCAAGAGTTTCAACATGAACATGGATGAAAGTGGAGAACACAAGAAGTTGCAACTACAAGAGTTAGAGGAAATTCGCAATGATGCCTATGAGAGTGCAAGGATTTACAAGGAAAAGATGAAGCCTTTTCATGACAAGATGATCTCTAGGAAGGAGTTTAAAGTTGGTCAAAAAGTCCTTCTATACCATTCACGTCTTCGTTTGTTTCCGGGTAAGTTGTGTTCTCGTTGGATTGGACCTTTTGTTGTTACTAATGTATTTCCTCATGGTGCAGTTGAAATTCAAAGTTTAGCAACTTCCAAAGTATTCAAGGTGAATGGCCATAGACGTAAGACTTTCTATGAAGGTTTCCAAGTAGAAAATGTGGCAACATTGGACCTTGAGGCTCTGAGTTATATTGATTGAAGAGGACAACCTTGAGTCAAGCCAACGACAATAAACAAAGGCGCCGCTTGGGGGGCAACCCAAAGGGAGTTTGTTTTCTTATTCTCGCATTTAAATTTTGGTTATTTTTGCCATTTCTTTGCATTTCATCTTACATTGGGGACAATGTCAGTTTTAAGTATGGGGGAGGGGATTTAGGTTGTGTTTTAATCTGTTTTTTTTTTTTTTTTTGAAAAAAAAGAAAGAAAAAAAACAAATAGTTAGGAAGGTTTATGCTTTAAGTAATGTCTTTGAACGTCTAGTGATGCATGAAATAGTAACTTGACTTTGTTGTTGAGCATATTCCTTGACTTAGGATGTTAGTAATATTTCGTAAAATAGAGTTAATCATATTTGAATCTTTGTAGTTTTGAAACAATATGTCTTGAGAAGTTGTGTGAACTTGGTGACGAAGCATGATTGAGGAGTGTATAACAACACTTAAAAAAAGAAAAATTGTCTCTTAAGCTAGTCCTAAATTTGGGTTTAAGCAAATAGGAAAAAAGAAAGAAGAAAAGAAAAAAAAGGTATGTGATGGGTCGAGATGGAGTGTAAAACGCACTCGCTCATAAACACAACCATAAAATGAGATGGAGCATAAAATGCACCCATTCTTTTTCAAAACAGATTAAAAAAAAAAAAATAGAAAGAAAAAAATATATCCCTAGTTTGCTACCCAGTTTGTAGTAGTGAAGAGAAACAGTTGAGGAAAAAGTTGAGAGGTGAGTTGTACATGAATTGGTTGTGATTAGTTTCCTTATTTGCATTGTAATTGTGGAAAATGATGAAGAGAGATGAATGTCATTAACTCTACTTTATTTTATTTTGTTGCTTCCTAAGTTAGGTATGAATATGCATGGATTAATATTGTTGCTTATCCATCATGATGGTGTTCTTGATATGACTTGAGTGTAGTGTTTGCTTGAATTAGTTTGCCCGAGGACGAGCAAAAGTTAAGTGTGGGGGAATTTGATGAGAGTGCAAAATGTCATATTTACCTCCCTTAATGTCTAGTCTTTTATACTTATTTGTTGCCTAAATGTACTCAGTATTATTCTATTTTGATTTAGGATACAAATGGACGCGTTAAATGCAAAACTGAACTAATTAGGTGAATTCGGATGGTTTTGACATTGCTTCGTAATCTGGGCATAACTCTCTCATCCGAGCTCCGATTGAGATGATTCAAAATACTGTGGAACACTAAGAAAGAGATCTACAACTTTCTGAGTTTGGAGAGATACTCGCAGCATCAAAGTTGTAATCGGGCTTGCAGTTGACGCACCTGCACTGCTAACGTTTTGGAACATTCCGCCTTGTCCAGTCAAATAGGTAGGTTATTATTGGAAGTTTTGAAGACCTGTTGGACGCAAATTATAGCTGGAAACACCACTTTCCTATTTTGTATTAGAACTTTATTTTCAATTAATCAGATTAGGATAAAGGTTATTTTAGGATTTTAGAATATTTTTTAGGTGATTTAGTAGAATGAAAAGATTTGAATTGGATAATTTTAAAAGAAGAGGGAGATCAGATTTGGGGGAACACACACACGCCTCTCTTTTCTCTCTGCTGTAATTTTCTCTTTTGAGTTTTGATTATGGCCATGAGCGGCTAAAACTTTCATATCTTGGTTGAAGGAAACGGAGGCCTCGGAATCAATAAAATTGTGAGATCTAATATGTTTTTTTTTTAGTGTTCAATTTATGTTTTGAGTATTGGATGTTCTTCTATGCCTATTTTCATGATTGTTTCATTTAATTACTAGGAGGCCTACTAGTGTATTATTCGTTGCAATCTACTGCTAAGTTAGATATCAAATCCGTAATTGTTTGATCCATCTAACTTGTGAGTAATTAAGGTTTAAGAATTTGCTGCGTCAGGAATCATTAAATCTTAAGAAGAATATTCAACTAAATTAAATACAACTGCTTGTATTTGTGTTGTTCAGCTTCATCAATTTCTCTAGCCCTTAATGCTACCACTAGATTAAACCTTTAGCGTTTGTCTAGTGTTGTCTAGTAGTAAGATTAATTAGATCGCTTGTTTCTTAATTAATTACAACTAAGGAGAGATAGAAAAATAGTTCCAACGGTGAATACTCAATGTATGAATTGACTTATGTTTGCATCAATGATCAGTTGTAAGATTCCAATGGTGGATGTTGACTTAGACCAAGTTTCATTATTTTGATTGATTTTGATTATTTACCTTGAATTGTTTTTCCTGAAAGTGTTTCCGTTTTACTCAAACACACCCCCACCTTCACCAACAAACACCACCCCCCCCCCCCCCCCCCCCCCCCCCCCCCAAAACAACCTTGTTCCAGCAACATAAAACCTTGGCTAGACACTCCTCGTGGGAACGATCCTTACTCACACTACTACATTTTTAGGTTTTATCTTGGTTGCCTACAACAGCACACCAAAATCTAAACTATAATTCAATTTTTTTAGTTGTTATTAATATATGAAATATATTTGATATATATTTATCTTTTTTTATAACATGTTAATAATTTTATACTAAAACTCATGATTGTATCTTAAAATTATTTTGAAAGCATTTTCACTTATTTCTATCAAATGTTTTCAAAATTTTTGAGAAATTAATTATAGTTAATAAAAAGAAACCATCCATGTATGACATTGAGTAAGAGAACAAAATACAGATTAATTAATTAATTATATTAATTAAATTAAGGAATTGAGGCAGTCAGAAAGGGTGGCTGTGACGGCTTAAATGGTAAAAGAAGAGGGCCGTTATGGGGGAGGAGAGCGACAAGAGTAGACCCACGCGCCGCAGCAACAACAACAACCCCCCCCCCCCCCCCCCCCCCCCCCCCCGGCCGGGGGGCCCTTTCTCCTCCAATAATATTAATTATTTAATTAATTTAAACAAATAAATTGATACTGATGATTTTTAAATATTTGACTGAATTCTAGCGACAAATATTTGGGTCTTTGTGCGTTTGGTTTGACAGGGGATGGTCTTTATTCTCTGCATATCAGCCTGTTACAGTAAAAGCTTGGAAATTGTTGTCTAGTGGGGGGCGGGGGCAACCCCAAACAATACGTATTAACAAGACTTAGAGTCTCCTTATGCTTTTAGGAGTTTGGTCTTGATTATTAGCGTGTATTCATTTATACTCAAGTTTACGTTCATATGAGTTTAATTTGTGCTTTGCTTTTTCTTTCAACATGACTTAATTAGTCCATGTTACACATATTAAGTTGTTTTTTTCTCTAAAATAACGCGTAAAGGACTAAAGGAGGAAACTACAGCCCAGTTGAAAAACACGCAATAGCCAAGACTATACACGTTCTCATTACTTTTTTCATGAACAATTTTTTCCACCTCTACTCTACTGTATTTCACCCTGCGCACATTGTACCATTAAACATGTTTTGTATCCTGCCATCAATATTTTTTTTTGCTTCTGATGCGCTCTGTTAAAACTAAACTGGACTTGATGTATACAAGTCCAATATTGTTGTATCAAAATATTATACAAGGTGGGCGGGTTCGGATATAGAATTTAGTGAGATACAATTTATTATACAATCTGTCTTGGGTCGTTGTTCATAAGTTGGACTTATATCGCAGTTGGACTAGTCTCCGCAAATCAAACGCAAACATGGTTGGACAAAATGCAAGTATGTGAAGTTAAAGTCATCAAGTCAACTATACACCCAAATTTTCTAAGTCTTTCTATTGCTTTCATTTTATCTTCCAAAGATGCGATGTAACTCTTAGCTTCTTCTATATTTTCTTGGCATCAATGGATTCAGTTCCCTCGTGATTCATTCTCCCTAGACCTTGCTCCTACCAGAAATGACGAGTTTCGAACTTTTCACCTCATCGCCTATTCTTTGTGCTCTAGGCTTTCTAATCCTGGTTCTTGTCAATGTTCAGTTATCTTTAAGCACTCCTGATATGTCAGAAGTTTGTAAACTTCAATTCAAGTGCGGGGACATCACAGCTGGTTATCCTTTCTGGGGAAACGAAGGCGGAACATACGGTCGCCAACGGTTATGTGGCCACGAGGATCTGGAGCTTTATTGTGAGAATGATACGACTATCATGTGGATCAATCGTGTAGATTATCGTGTTTTGAATATCAATGAGTCAGCGCAAGTTCTAAAGATTGCGAGACAGGACTACTTGAGCGGCTTCTGTCCACCTGATGAAAAATTGGTTGACACCACCATTGACTCGACACTTTTTGAATATTCTCCCGGGTATGAGAATTTCACATTACGTTATGGTGTCCCTTCTGGTCAGATAACTTGCTCCATAGAGGAGATGGAGAAGCACTTCAACTATATGGATGGTTTAATATCAAAAGTAGAATTTGGTCCTATGATTAGTTTCACTGTCAATGTCATGGTTCTTGAAACTTCACTTCAAGAAGCAAAACGAAGTCTGTCAGGTTTGGAAGAAGCCCTGAAACAAGGATTTGAAGTGAAGTGGAAAGTGAGTGACATGGAATTCTGCTATAAGTGCATTCAATCCGGTGGAAGTTGTGGTTATCATAATATCGGGAATCAAACAATTTGCAATCGCCCAGATCAACTTTTTCCCCACTTTCAAGATCAAGGAGCAAGTGCCTCAATTTTTATGGTACTGTTAATTACTATACCAAAATGAGTTCTTAGTTTACACAAATTAAAGGAACATTAATAATTATTATTATTATCATTATTTTAGGGCCAAACTTCTAATCATGCGCAACTCAAACCACAAACTCAAAACTTTGGTTCTAATTAGGGCCATGGTCATTCATCAACTTTCACACATGGTCAAAGGAGCACCCATTTTAATAGTATCGCTATCATAATAGACACTCATACCCTAGACTCAATCAATAAGATTCCTTGATATCAGAATTAAGCATTATAGATGGTAAAGCGAAGCATTATAGACTCAATCAATAAGTTTGACAGATTCTATATGATTGCAAAATCAGATTAGCTCATAAGTTTGCTATAACGTAAGGGGTGTCTATAATACAATTTCAAACTTCTTGGGTAATCAATAGCGACAAGTACGAGAATCAAGGATTTTATTAACTAGGGTATAAGCCTTTCAGAATATTCCAATGGAGGACAGAACTGACAAATTCTTTAATTAAGCGACAATTGCTTTTAGTTAGGGTTAAATTTAACTTTATAGAAGGGTAAAGATATAATTGAACAAACTTAAATGATTCTTTTTATAAAATAAATAATCAAAATTGAAAAACTAAAACACTAAAAATTAAAAAGAACTAAAAAATATATTTTAAATTATTGTTTTTATAAATAAATATTAAAATGATCAAAATTAAAATTAAAAACAATAAAAATTAAAAAAAATTAAAAACTAAACCAAAAAAGTTGTTATTATTTTCCTTTAATTTTTTATTTACCTCTAAAAAAATTGGTTCTACTTTTTTATAGTTTTTTTTTTTTTAAGATTTTTTAAATTTAGATTTAAGAACTAAATTAACTTAAAAAGAGAAAAAATCAAGGGCATTTAAGCCATTTTTTTCATTTTCCATTAAAGTTAATGGCAAATAACCGTTAGATGTCCATTAATTGAACAATTTGTAACTTCTGTCATTTCATTTGTACCTTAATTGATAATATCCAAGAGAGTTATCATCCAAAAAATAATTTTAAAAACTTTAAAGATAATCTATATTTAAGGAACCTCATTATTATTGAATTCGTATTTATCATATTATCTACCAGGTTTGAGTAAATAACATTATTAATCAATAAATATTTAGATTATCATATATTATAATGTATTGTATTAAATCTAATTCTAAATATTAAAATTTACAAATACATTATAGTAAGGATTCAATTACTTTGGTACAAACTATATTTATGGTCGGTTACCGGTGGCATTTTGATTTGATAATTAGCTAATTATAGTAGAGAGCACATTTATATGGTGATCTATCATTAATAAGCCTATTTTAAATGTCCTTTGTCTCTATCTTACAATGAAATTCACCTGCACCTTCTTTCCCATTTTGTTGGTCAAAATATGTGAACTATGTATGCATAGATCAATTCTCAACAAATGAGAATATGATCATTTTCAATGTAGAATATTTTATATTGAAACAAGATGGTCTTGATTCAATGTTCTGTTCAAGAACACTGACATTTCTGGATCTCTTGACAGCTGTAAGGAAAAATAAACATTTAGTCATTGGTGTAGCAATTGCATCATGTGTGGTGGGACTGGGCCTAGTAATGATCCTCCTCATTCTTCTCATTGTTGGTAGAGGACGATTTTTGAAGAAGAAAACAGAGAACGATAAAACCGTATAGGCCTTTGTTAGAAATTACGGTTCTCTCGTTCCACGTAGATATAGTTATTATGATGTTAAGAAGATGACAACATCATTTAGGGATAAACTTGGTCAAGGAGGCTTCGGTGATGTCTACAAAGGAATGTTATCAGATGGTCGTCTTGTTACAGTGAAGGTATTGAAGGAATCCAAAGGTAACGGGAAGGAATTTATCAATGAGGTCGTTAGCATGAGTAGAACATCTCATGTTAATATAGTTGCCTTTTTAGGTTTCTGTTATGAGAAGAAGAAAAGAGCTCTTATATATGAATTTATATCTAATGGATCTCTAGAAAAATTCATTTATGATAACGAACCTTCAAGTGTTAACCGCAAGTTGGAATTGGAAACAATGTCTCATATTGTAGTTGGAATTGCTAGAGGATTAGAGTATTTACATCAAAGGTGTAATATAAGGATTGTGCATTTTGATATAAAACCTCACAACATTCTCTTAGATGAAGACTTTTGTCCAAAGATATCTGATTTCGGACATGCTAAACAATCCAACACAAAAGAGAGTATCATATCAATGTCGGTTGCCAGAGGAACTGCAGGATATATTGCACCGGAAGTATTTTGTCGAAATTTTGGAGAAGTTTCTCATAAGTCTGATGTCTATAGTTATGGAATGATGGTTCTCGAAATGATTGGAGGGAGAAAAAACATTGATGTTGGAGTGTCTCATACCAGTCAAATATATTTTCCACATTGGATACACAAGTGTGTTGAATCTGGAAAGGATCTCGAAGTTCATGGGATTGACACTGAAGAAGAAAAAGAGATTGTGAAAAAGATGATATTAGTGGGCTTGTGGTGCATTCAAACTAATCCATATGATAGACCATCGATGACCAAAGTTGTAGAAATGTTGGAGGGTGGCCTAGAAAACTTAGAGGTTCCACCAAAGCCTTATTTGTCTTCTCCAACAAGACCACCTCAACATTCTTCTCCTACATCATCAACATGATTAATGCATCACACAAAAAAGACTCCTGTCTATTTTAGTAACAAAGTGCAACATAAATCATGATATTGTATTATCCTTTAATTGATATATCATTTGTTTTTATTTAATGAGTTGATATAAATATTTTCACTCTTCCAAAAATTTTGTCTCATATCATTTTTTATCTCTCACAGTGTTGACAAATGAGTTGAGCTACGACAACATCTTGCATCAAACTAAGAATCATTAATGTCGTCAACCATAAATTAGATGAGGGTTCGTAAGCTACATTAAAGCTATATAACAATTTGTCTCCACAAGTAAGAGCAATTCTTATTTATCGCTGTAGATAATACTTAATACATAAAATGACCAGGAAATTTTATTTATTTTTAGAATTTTGTGTATGTGGTATCAAATCAGGGCAGCCTGGGTTGGGGCAAATTATTCTTTGTTCTGGTTCTGGTTCACTTCAGTCCATCTATAAGGACTAGTTAGAGGGGTAAGCCCATTTGTCCTTGAATCAACTGGACTCGTTTTTGGGATGACTAGGCCTTGATTAGGCCACTATCGGGCCTAAGCTTGGGTCAGTTTATCTTAGCGAGCGAGACTCAGGTGAATTGAACGGGGGTTGGAGTAAAAATTAATTGCCTCTAAATTCGATGGGCATGTAATATTACACTTACAATCTAATTTCGCAATCTTTCTCTCACAATTTCGATGTGACAGTTCGCAATTGATCAGTTCGCACATGTGTCATGTCTATCCAATTACGATCTGATCAATCACGAACTGTCATATTGGGGTTGTGAAAGAAAATTTGTAAAATTGGATTGTGAGTCAATCTTTATCTAAATCTGATTAGTGCACTTGGTGTATCATATCTGATTTATTAAATTTGTTTAGAGTAATGTTAAGATATTTTAAAAAAAAAAAAAAAAAAAAAGCTTCCAACTTGGAATCACAGGATTACGGGATAATAAGTTAAAGTTATTCTCCTTTAATCAATATGGTGTTCGCCAAAAATGATTCACATTACTTGGGATTTAACTTTGTAAATATACCTTTGTGTTTAGTGTAACAATGAAATAGAATGACAATATACAATCAATCATTTAATTATTTAAATAAAATTAAAATCATTTAAATATAAACTTATTCATGAAATTACTACAAATAAAATTATTATTTTTAACTAATTAACAGAAGTATTTAATAATTAATTTTATAGAAGACTAGTCTACGTGCTTTACTTATTTTATTCAAAGATGTTGGGTTTTATTCTTGATTGATGGTATATCTTCCAATTTGAAGATAATAAAGTCTCCAGAGTAAACCCTCCCGTGGAGAAAGGGCATGGACTATTTTAAATGTCCTCAATGAAATTCACCTGCACCTTCTTTCCCGTTTTGGTGGTCAAAATATGTGAACTAAGTATGCATAGATCAATTCTCAACAAATGAGAGTATGATCATTTTCAATGTAGAATATTTTATATTGAAACAAGATGGTCCCAATTACAACTTTACTCATGTTATGTTCAAGATCATTGACATTTCTCCAACAAGATCACCCAACATTCTTCTCCCACATCATCGACATGATTAATGCATATATGAGTAATAACAAAGTGAAAAATAAATTGTGATATGATATTATCCTTTAATTGATATATCATTTATTTTCATTTAATGAGTTGATATAAATAGTTTCACTCTTCCAAAAATTTTGTCTCATATCATGTTTTATATCTCACAGTGTTGACAAATGAGTTGAGATATGACAACATCTTGCAAGAATCATTAATGCCGTCAAGCATAAATTAGATGAGGGTTCCTAAACCACATTAAAGCTATATAACAATCTGTCTCCACAAATAAGAACAATTCTGATTTACCAGTTGTAGATAACACTAAATACATAAAATTACTATGAAATTATATTTACTTTTAGAATTTGTAGATGTGGTATCAAATCGGGGCAGCCTGTATTGGGGCAAATTATTCTTTGTTCATTATGGTTCACTTCGGTCCATCTATAAGGACTAGTTAGAGGGGTAAACCCATTAGTCCTTGAATCAATTGTGGATGGCTAGGCCTTGATTAGCCCACTATGGGGCCTAAGCTTGGGTCAGTTTATCTTAGCGAGTGGGACTCAGGTGAATTAAACAGTAGTTAGAGTAAAAATTAATATATAATACTATATGTATAATATTTTTATATAACATTTCTGATACAATAAAATGTGATTTTAAATTAAAAAGCTTCCAACCTAGAATCACATGATTACATGACAATAAGTTAAATATGTTATTTTCCTTTAATCAATATGGTGTTCACCAAAAATTATTCA